TGAAACATCCAGCACGCCGTGCACCCCTGTGATGAATCAACAGGGGGCGGCGGATCCAGTTGCCGTCGGCCTATCCCGCCACCGTGCGTGGGTGGTGGGTCAGAGGCTTCATGGATGCTGGTTGGGATCTCGTGGTTGGCGGGGACTTCTGGGGGCCTCTTGGGCGCCTCTTGGGGCTTCTTGGGGGCCTCTTGGGCCTCTTGGGGCCACTAGAGGGCCTCTTGGGTGCCTCTTGGGAGCCTCTTGGGGCTTCTTGGGGGCCTCTTCTGCGCCCCTTGGGGCCTCTTGGAGGCCTCCTCGGAGCCTCTTGGTGCGGGAGGGGTGGTACTCGAGTTCGGAACCCCCTCGGAGGCCACGATCCTTGTGAGGGGTGTCAAAAAACGCATCCGCCGGAAACTCGCACCCCCCCCCCCACCCCACCCCCCCTTCCCCGGCAGAGCCACCCCGGCAACCCCCCCAGAGGCTGAGGCTCAGCCTCGAGGCTGTAGCTGAGACTCCTTGGAACTCACACGCCGGATCGGCGGATTTATTTGTGTGTCCCAGCCCAGCCCCTCCGACCCTCTTAAATATAAGAGGATCCACCAAAAATTTTGGTGACCCCCTAAATAAATATGAGGGTTTTTCGATGTGACAAAACCTTCCAAAAATATAAGAGGATTTTGCCGCACATGGAAAACCTTCTTAAAAAATAAGAGGGTTTCTTGTTGGTACTATCCGTAGGACGCGTTATCGGTATAATATAGCTCGTTGTTTCACGGTGGCCTCATTATCCCCTCCTCCTCCCTCCCTCCCTCCCTCCTCCTCCTCCTCCTCCTCCCTCCTCCCTCCTCCTCCCCCTCCTCCTCCTCCCTCCTCCCTCCTCACAGAAAGACCACATGGGCCCTTTGAACCTTGTTTGGCCCAAGTGGGCCCACGAGTGCAGCGGCCACCAAAAAGCGGTATTCAGAGGATGCTTCACGCGAAGCGTCGATCGATTTCTGTTACGGGCCATCACAACCTGTACTTCTCGATTGCAGAGCGATGCACAAACTTGCAATGCTGGTGGGAATCTCCCACAGAATCTGCACAGGTGCCAATGGCGTCCTCATCCAGATAATTCCAGCTAGTTCTAGGATTTCCGTGTGTGAAAAAATCATCTTCCCCTAAATGGACGAATAGATGATGTTTTGGGTACATACGATATGCTTCCCAAAACCTAGTGTGCCTGTCAGTATGCAGGGACAGTTGCCCATACAGTTGAACATGTTGTCGCGCAAGGGTGCCCAATTTAGTCCGTATAGTGTCCGATGGGTGCTTGATTTCATCATAGAAATCTTACAGCGCCTCCACACAAAAAAACCTGAGCTGCTCGTATTCGCTGGCAGGTTTGAAGATTTCTTTCAATAGGAAATGAACGACGCCAACCATTAAACGAGCACTCGCGGCCTTCATCCGCAGCTTTGGATATCGGCTTTTGTCTGGCTTCAGCATCCCGAGCGTCAACGTGTTTAAAGGAAACTTGTCATAATTCAGCTGGCGACTCGCATGTTTGATTCGAACCGTGAGCTCCGAAAGGCAATCGGCGGGTCTTGTCATCAGACCACCTAGCTTGATAAACAGTTCGAGTAACACGTTGGCGACCAAATATAATACGATGCCGAGGTCCCCAACATGCATCAAATCCAGAACAATACTCGACAACTGCAGTCCAGGAATGCTCCAAATCCCAGAAATGTAGCGGCCAGACAAAAGTGCATCTTGAACGAATTGTTGATGCGACAGCATTGTGGATCGCCACTTGGCGTTTGTGCTAGCATCCGTAAACGGGAAAGCGCAACTCGGATCTGTGGACTTCTCCGCGCAGCAGCGGAAGCACATCCTTTTCCGTTCACCCTCGCCTTGCCACCCATGCAACCCAATCACTTTTTTGAGCCAATCCCAATCGAATCGGCCTTGAAGGACACCGCCAATGTTGCTCAAGGGCAGGTTCGCCCGCGCTGCACGTTTGCGATCGCCCCTGAGGCGAGAGTCCTTGAAAGGAACGCCATCGTGCCGAACTTCAGGGCTTTGCCCTGTCAACCACACCTGGAACGACCATGATATCACACGCCATACGCTGTCGAATGTATGGCGCCCCTTGCAGCCGCAATCGCAGAATAAACTGCGAGGTAATACGCATGCCCAATATCGAATGTCGCGACGCGCCTCTGACAGACAGTTCCAAAGAACAAGCAGCAGGGAGTCATTCTTGCTGAACGGGGCTTCGTCTCCCCAAATCCCAACTGGCACGATATCATCAGCTGCGCAGCGGGCACCCGCGCGGGACGCCCAGCTCTCGCGAGATCTTTCAAGTGAAGGGTTGGCGAGCACAGTCCAGCCCGCTGGATCTTCACATTGCGACTCGAACACCTCATGAGGGAGAAGGAGAAATACACTGTCTTCGTATTTAGTGCGCGTGTCAGAGTCCCACAGGCTGATCTTGGCTTCGTAAACCTCTGGGAAAGAAGTTCCCTTCCGAAATTATCGAATGACTCGTCGGTGTGCGTTGCCACGCTGCCCTGACTCCGCGGGCCCCCCAGCTAGAGCTCGCATCTCTTCTACATCGGGTGCTGATAGGTGGCCCTGCTTGAACTTCCTCATAGCAAAACCGTCGATCCGATGAGATACTAGCTGGGCGTCTGGGTTGAGATCATCGCCGCGAGCTCGCTTTGCCTCTGTCCCACCAGCATCGAGGCCCAAGGATTTGCAAATGCCGCCTCCCAGGCGCGCCATCAGAAGCAACGTGGAAATATGGACGAAATACCGCATATGTAGATCGTAAATGCAGGTTTGAGCCCAAACGGCTACGCTGTCAATGGTGGTGATGCTATGGCTTATATTTTCAGACCCTGTTGATAGTTTAAATTGCGTTAGGGGATGTATGATTTGGGGCGAGGTTTACAGATATGTTGATGTTTCCCAGGGCTCCCCCATCGTATGTTTAGAGGTCGTGCGTGTGTGTGTGTGTGTGTGTGTGTGAGAGAGTGTGTGAGTGTGTGTGTGTGTGCGTGTGTGCGTGTGCGTGTGTGTGTGTGTGTATTTGTCCAGCGCTCAAAGGCCCAGGGGGCCAACATTCGAATGGTTCCGATCCGTGCACGTGAGGATGCCGTGAGAAGTTGCCCAGCCTTGTGAGTACAGTCCACATCGGCTAAACAATGGCACCATCACTAGGAACAGCGGCCGCGGAATGACGCGGCCAAGTCGGTAGAACTGAAAATCACTTCGCCTTCAGCTTCGCAAAATCAGCCAGGACGTTTTTCTTGAAAAACTTATTGGCTGTATCAACCCTCGCCATTTCATCCTTCATCTCAGTGGCCTTCGCCGTGTACTCACTCACCTCGGTCATCGTCTCGCCCTTCAGCGTAGACCACATCTCGAAGAGAGCAGTCGCCAGGCTCTTCTGCTCAGCTGTCTTGGCCTGGAGGTACTTCAAAGGCCCGCCCCCCCAGCTGTCCCCCATCTTCGTGCTGATGCGGTTCTCGATGATGGTGACCTCGCCGAGCTCGCGATTCATCTTGTCGTACTGGGCCTTCGCCTCCTTGAGCACCTTGGCAAACGCCTGGGAGGCCTCGCTCAGCTCCTTCGCTTGCTTCTCCTTGGCGATCTCCTCGGGGCTCTTCTCGGCGTTCCCTGTGGGCGGGACACCCTCGTCCGTCTTGGCCTTCTTGGCTCGCTTAGGCCGCTGCATGACGGGGACGGCCTCGGAGGAGAAGTTCTGCATCATGGAACGCACGTCCTCGACCTCTTCGGGCTTCAGCTCGGCGGTGGTCGTGATGTCGGTGGTCTCCGTCCGTTTTTTTCTGGAACTCGTCCTGCTCGATCGTCACGTAGTACTGCTTGATGTCTTTGGCAGCCAGGATCGGGCTTTCGTGGGGCCTCTCGGTGAACTCTCCCGCCTCGCATCGAGCTTTGGCGTGCTCCATGTTGTTGATGCCTTTGGGCCCGCCGTACTCGTCGATAGTCATCCATTGGCCGACCGTCTTCTCCTTGCGAGAAACCTCGCGGGACACGGTGTTCGTCGCAGTCGACCCCCCGCTCGCGGGGTCGATGAGGAAAGCAGCCAACCAATTGCGGCGTTCTTCGTCGGTGTGAAGCTGCTGGTACTGATTGTACTTGTCTGGGTGGGTGTTTTTGAGCGTCGAGTTTAAAGAGCTGAATGCCTTCTTTCTCACCGCGTGCTCCACTCCAGCGATCCCCAAGGCTGTGACCTCGCTGCCCAGCAAAGCTTTGAGCTCCTCGCATGCGCTGGGAAGCTCGTGTGCCTTTCTCTTGGGAGGCATTCTGATGAACGAAGTTTGAATAATCGCTTGTATATACTTGAGTCGGGACATGGCTATGGAGTTCGAATCGTCGTCATTTCGTTCCTCGAGGAACGAAATGACGACGATTCGAAACTGAAGCCAATGAAGATCACATATCACGACATGAAGAGCAATGCTCAAGACTCAAAAGATATGGAGATTGTAATGATGAAGAAGATGGATATGATGATGGCGATGGTTGCCAGGAGGTGTGTTCCATGAGGTCCCTTGGCGACCCTGTCTCCTGCCCTGCAGGGCCAGATCTATGAAATGAGCTCGCGCGGCCGAGCCCATGCACGTGCAAGTGGAGCCACCTCCCTCCCCCGAAACTCCGCCTCCACCTCGAGCCCCTTTGACCGCCCTGAGGCCCTTCGGACCCCTGACCCGCCCGAGCTATATCTGCCGCTATATCTGTCGCTATATCTGTCGCCCCCCCCCCCGACAGACATGGGCGCTCGAAACATTCGAAAATCTATATCTGTCGCCCCCCCCGTGCCGGATATAATGCCGGATATGGGCCCGCCCGCGGGGGCCCCGTGTGCGCACTGGTGCAGCGCCTCAGGACGCTGCGATCCTCTCCAGCTCCTGGAAATCATCGTAGATATCATTCGCGATGGCGGCAAGGCGGTTCATGTCGTCGCTGATGCCATCAGATCCATGCTCGGGCGGGCCCATGATAGAACCGCCATCTTCAGAATCACTAACCATGACTACTGAACCTGCGTGGTAGACTTCGCATCCAATGACTTCTGGAGTATCACCTGTGTAACGATTTTGGCAGCATGCAAAATGCCAACAAGCCGCCGCACGCTCGACGTCGAGAATGACCGTCTGTAAACGACCGTGCCCGACACAATGACGAAACGCAGACTTCGGAATCTCACTGGTGGAGGACTGCTGGCGAGAGGCATGATGTGTTACGACCGTCACCTTGTCGATAGTCTCCGAGAAAGTGCAATTTGAACCGCACCTTGGAGAATGCCCCAGTTGCACCCGCGAGTCCAGACCTTCTATCCCCCTCTTCTCATCTGTTGTGTGATCGGGCGAGGTGGGGGAGGAAAGTCGGAGCTGGACTCGCGCGTGCAATTGGGGCGCCCCGCGCCTGTAGCACAGCCAATGCCCTGTCGTCTCACCAGAAGTAGAATCAGTCAAAGGGGCCCAGTGCATGCGTCGATCTTCAATGTCTGCGAATACTCCAGTGTCAACCGCCACAACCCGCCTGCAACAGAAAGGCGCGACCAAAAAATACGACTCTGGAGGCTCCAAACTCTGTCCAGCGAGGATCTCGATTTCCACATCAGCGACTCCGATTGCACCTAGCCTCTCTTGGGTGCTGGTACCCTCTGGAGACATGGGTGACCTGCATATAAAGCATGTGTCATCGCCCCTCACCAGCATCTGCGCCACACAAGCGCCGTGCAGGAAGTGGCCACAAGTGCCCATGATCCCATCAGTCGGACCATAGGTCCCCAAGCAAACGCAGCACTCCATATTGCCAAAATGGCTATGGTGATGACGATGATGGATGATGACATGGGACCTTCTTGGCATGTCTCCGGGGGCCTCTTAGAGTTTTGAAGCCTTTTGGGTGCCGTCTTGGGGCCTCTTGGAGCCTCTTATGGGTTTCTTGGGGGCCTCTTCGGGCCTCTTGGGGGCCTCTTGGGGCCTCTTGGGGCCTCATGGAAATGCTAAGTATGTGTTCCCCCCTTTCGGGGGAAAAGTTGAGAGCATTGACGAAAGCGTTTGTACTCCGTGCTGCAACTCGCCTGCAGGGGCATCGTTCTCGGATGGGCTGGTGGGGTCATTCGAAGCGTCCAGCGTTGTCCGCCCCCTCGGGCAGGTGCACCTCGGACCAGCAAGTGAATGTGAACAGGTCTTGTCCTAGCTGCTGGCATGGGGCCTGCCAGTGGGTTAAACCACCTCATGCTGCTGAAAGTCCCCATGGAAATGCTAAGTATCCTTTCCCCCCCTTTCGGGGGAAACGTTGAGGGCATTAACGAACGCGTTTGTACTCCGTGCTCCTACACATCCCTGATCAGGGCAACTCGCTTGCAGGGGCATCGTTCTGAATGGGCTGGTGGGGTCACTCGAAGCGTCCAGAGTTGTTCGCCCCCTCGGGCACCTCGGACCAGCAAGTGAGTGTGAACAGGTCTTGCCCTAGCTGTTGGCATGTGGGTAAAACCCCCTAATGCCGCTGAAAGTCCAAATGGAAATGCTAAGATCTTTTCCCCCCATTAGGGGAAAAGTTGAGATCATTAACGAAAACGTTTGTACTCCGTGCTCCTCCACATCCTTGATCAGGGCAACTCGCTTGCAGGGGCATCGTTCTCGGATGGGCTGGTGGGGCCATTCGAAGCGTCCAGAGTTGCCCAAGGCTGCTTGCAGCAGAAAGGTTAAAGGTAGGGCTGCAAGGAGGGGTGCGCAGAGGGGAGTGGCCTCGCCGACGCCCCGAAGGGGGGCAGGGGGGCAGACTGCGGCACCCCCGCATCCCCGACCCAGGAGGAGCAGGAGCAGGAGCAGGACGGAGGTGAGCAGGAGCAGGAAGGATGTGTTTTTTTCTTGTGGCACCGCCGCATCCAAGCCGTCTTAGCCAGGCGAGTTCTGCAAACCAGAAATCCTGACGGCGCGCTCCCACAGAAGCTTAACTCCTGCAGCGTCGAGCGTAGTTGGCCACCCGAGTGAAACGCCAGCCTGTTTGTTGATCTTCAGGGCTGGCTCGTCATCTGGAAGCTTGGTCACACTTGTAACGTACAACGTTCGAGACGCTTTGTCTCCTTTTGCAAGTGTGATAGGTATATTCGAGCTACCCGCTCCCTCGGACATGTAAGCTACGAACGTTTTCTTATCAACGTCGTCAGGATTGTCGATCAAGTCTTTCGCCTCTCTTGGTAGCAGGTCGTAGCCATCCTTGACAATCTGCTTGTAGGCTGGCGTCTCATCAGCTCGGTCCTTGCCCTCCTCGGACTCGTCCTGCTCCTCTTCCTCGGCTCCTTCGTGATCGTCATCATCCTCATCAGTAGCGTTCGCCATGGCAGGCTTCTTGGCGACCGTGTGGGCCGCAGGCTTCTTTTGGGTTCTTTTTGTTGCCCTTCGCTGCCTTTGGGAGCTTAGGGGAATTCAAGACCGTACCATCCTCTGAGATACAATTCGATGGGACTTCCGTCTCACATGTTTGGTCGTTGGAAAAGTGTGCCATTGCAAATCCACGCTCGCTAGGACTGTACTTTGAAGCCGCCATTCGACTACCATCTGAAAGAAGAGCGTATGCGACCATTCCATCACCAGTGTCGTTCGGCTCGATAAATTTGAAAACCATGACGGCTGTCTCAGTCGCCTCATCCTCGTCCTCGCCGCCGTTGCTCTCGGCCCGAAAAGCTGGCATCGGGTGCTTTCTTTTTCTTGTTGTCGAGGGCCGATCCCCAGCTTTGTCTGTAACAATTTCACCGTACACTGTTTGCAGCCACTCGGGGTCTTTCGAACGGTTGGGGTCGGAACGGCCATAGTACTCTTTCTTTTTTTTCTCTGATGTGGCTACACATGACGCGGACTGAGTAGGCCATCAAAGCAAACGCCGCGTTAGGCCTTGAAACATGATGACGTGTAGCGTACTCGTCAATGTCTTCCTTCCGATGGCCAAAAATCTCCGCCATTGCTTTCGCCATATCTGGTTGTCCGTAATAACCTCCCCTCTTGTCAATTCCCATCAACTTTGTAAGATGCTCACGGAATTCAGTAAGGTTGTCCAGATTCATTCCTGTTTTCATGTCGGTACTGCTGTACGTGGGAAGCTTCTGATCACGATCGAAACATTTGCTGAGCATCGCGACGCAGTCAGGGTGCCGACCAATTTTTGTTCGACTTGCCATTATGTATATGATCGAGATATGAATCGCATGCGACAGACCTCTCAAAGAAGCCATGGCTTGCAAGCTTGAGCCGAAAAAGGCTACGTACACTGGCAATGACGGGGGAACCGCAGAAGAGGCTTGGCAATGTAACTTCGGGCTCCGCGCTGCGCGAAGCGTAGAACGCTGTTATCCTTGCGCTCTCACACCGACCCCTCGGAGAAAGACAGCTCTGCAAACCAGGCCGCGAAGTGTGAAGCATGATTACCTTCGCGCCCCTACAGGTGGCGACTTCGGATGAAGGGACTAGCTAACCCCACGGATTCCATAAAGGGATTTCATGAGGGGACTCTGGAGGGCTCCATAAAGGGGGCTCCCATTAAAGGGGGTGTTCCGTAAAGAAGTTCAAGGGGTGTATGCATGTCTGTATGTGTGTATAGAAGTATGTATATGTGTATGTGCGTATGTATGTCTGATGTGTATATGTATGTATGTTTGTGTGGCTGCCGTTCGCTGCGCTCACAACTACCATTGCCGTTTGAAAATGCCAATGCTGTCTTCAACCAGTCCGCCAGCACATTGTTTGAACAGTGTGCAGCCCAGCTTCGTTCCAATTGCTCCCGCAAGGCTTGCAAGAAAGTGGACATGTGCTTTCCAACAATCTTCGTTTTCGCCAACCCCCTAAAAAATAGGAGGGTTTTGGGGTATTGGAAAACCCTCTTATTTTTTAAGAGGGTTTTTCGACCTTCTTATTTTTTAAGAGGGTTCTTAAACAAATAAGAGGGTTTCTTATTTTTAGGAGGGTCGGAGGGGCTGGGAGGGCCCCTTCATGAACTACCGGTGAACCGTTCATTACAGTCGGGTCGCTGAAGTAGGAACCCTTTTCGGTTGGGGAGGGGCTCCGTGTGCCTCAATTGTTTCACAGCTTGCCTCAGGTGTTCCTTCTATTTTCGATGGGGCATCGAAGTTTAACTTATGGGCAGCAGGGGCCTCGTTCCTTATGTTGGGTTCCTTGGGTCAACGCCCCGACTGTGAGGTAGCGCGACGGTTTTGCGCGCCAGGGCACCTGGTGACAGGTGCCCTGCCGCCGGTTGCAGGGCACCTGGTGCTGCTCCCCGGGGGGGGGCTCCGTGGCCTCGCGCGCGCTCGGAGCACCTGCTCCCGCGTGTCTTCCCCCCCTCTCGGCCTCCCGCCTCCCTCCTCGGTGTCGGCGCCCAGTGTGTGTGGCTGCCTTCGCCCGTGCGGGGAGTGCGAGCAGTAGTCTGGGCCTCCCAGATGGGGTCGGAGCAGATGGGGTCGCGGGATCGCGCCTCGTCGCCGGTGCAGCGCCGATGCGGCTCGATGTGGGGCCCGATGTGCCTCACGTTGGCGTCGTCGATGCATCGCCGAGGTCGACGATGCATCGCGGGTGCATCACCGATGCATCGCTGATGCATCGCTGATGTATCGGTGATGCGGCGTGATCCTCCGACTCCATCTACTCCGACACCATCTAGGAGGCCTCCAAGTAGTTGTTGCCGCCAGGCCCGGGTTATCATCAACACAGGGAGACCTTTTTTGGTTTGCTCATGTTTGCCGCAGGTTGGCCGCTGCAGGCAACAGGTCGATTTGGGGTGCTTCGATGTTTGCCCGCACCTGGTGGTTTTCGCTCCTCTCTTCTCCTCGTCCTCTCGTTCCACGTGCGACTTTGTTCTCTGACGAACAAATGTACGTGTATCCTCGGCTGTGCCCCCCTGTTTCACAATGTTCTCACTGCTCGCATGTCCGCACCTCCGACTTGGTTCACACAGCATCTCTTATGCTCCACTTGTGGTGGCTTTCGCTTTTATGCCCGCTCTCCCCCAGAGAAAGCAGTAGCTGTATGTGACATCTGTTTGGTCATGAGCAGACACCAGCTCCTCGTGTGCAGACGGTTCGGGAGGTCATCTCAACTTTCTTCCAATCCCCATGCTTCCCTCGTTCGGGGATGGCCTCTATACCTCCCATGTGAACAAAAAAACGTTACGATCTCCGCGAAATCGCTAAAGCCGTCCGTGGACGAGTTACTCCCCAGCGCAATGCCTTCGAACCGCTAAGGGTCTCGGTCGGAGCCCCGCCAGGCGCTGTCCGACGCCAAGGAGGATCTGCAGCTGACCACCGATCAGCGCTCCGAGGACGTCGAGTATTTGCGCAACCTCCGGCTGACCTGCCAGGAGTATCCTCCGCCTGAAGGAGCAAGAGGATTGAAGAGCAGCGTTGGTGCCCCCGAGGGTAGCTAGGCTTCACCTTGTGGATGTCGGGTGGTGCTCAGGGGCACTCCTGTCCATGCGACTCGGCGACGTTTTAGGCCGGGACGTCCGACCTCATGATTGTGGTGCGCGTGCCACCTCTTCGCACCCGATGGTGGAGGTGCGTGCAATCTCAGAGTCCTCCTCCACTGTCTTGGCGTCGCTCAGACGTGTGCCTTTTGTCTGCCGGCGAGGGCCCTCGAGGAGCCTCCTGCAGCGCCAGGAACAAGAACCGACACGCACGAAGCCGAACGACGTGCACGGGGGATGGGCGTCCGAGCGGTGGCACGCTGTGCCTCCTCCGTTCCCTCCTTGCTGCTCTCCTCGTCGCCCGCTCCCTCCCCATCGCCCTCCGGCGGGTGTGCCCCGCTGGGGAGAGGCATAGGCCAGGAGCGCAAAAAGGGACGCACGCGTGCACGAGACCACGCTGGTTTCGAGAGTACGCCTTGCGCGAGCGTTCGCATCGCTCAGCCGGTGACGCGGAGTGGGGGGCCGTGCTCTGGTATTAAATCGGGCCTGTCCCTCCACAGGAGGGATATTTCAAAATAGACGAAACAATGTCTGGGTTGATTTGTGGATTATTGTTCCCAGCAATCCCGTGGTGTTGGGTCCTCGTTTTGAGCAGACAGCGCCCGCGTCCTTCCTTCCACTGCCCCCCTCCCTCTCCCCATCATCAGCAACACCGTCACCATCATCATCTTCATCATCATCATCATCATCGTCAGTTCGGCACACCCCTCACACGGTTCCTGGCCCCATAGGGAGCTTCACCGAAGGCCCCAGTGGGTGCGTTCGCACGCGTCACTGCCACCCTATTCGGCACACCCCTCACACGGTTCGTGGTCCCATAGGGAGCTCCACCGAGGGCCCCAGTGGGTGCGTTCGCATGCGTCACCGCCACACATCACGGCACACCCTTCACACGGCTCGTGGCCCCATAGGAAGCACCACCGAAGGCCCCAGTGTGTACGTTCGCATGCGTCAGCGCCACCCACTACGGCACACCCCTCATACTGTTCGTGGCCCCATAGGGAGCGCCACCCATTATGGCACACCCCTCACGCGTTTCGTGGCCCCATAGAGAGCTCCACCGAAGGCCCCAGTGGTGCGTTCGCATGCGTCACCGCCACATATTGCGGCACACCCCTCACACGGTTCGTGGCCCCAAAGGGAGCTCCAACGAAGGCCCCAGTGGGTGCGTTCGCATGCGTCACCGCCACCCATTACGGCACACCCCTCACACGGTTCGTGGACCCATAGGGAGCTCCAACGAAGGCCCCAGTGGGTGCTTCGCATCGTCGCGCCACACATTGCGGCACACCCCTCACACGGTTCGTGGCCCAAAGGGAGCTCCAACAAAGGCCCCAGTGGGTGCGTTCGCATGCGTCAACCGCCACCCATTCTGGCACACCCCTCACACGGTTCGTGGGCCCATAGGGAGCTCCAACGAAGGCCCCAGTGGGTGCGTTCGCATGCGTCACCGCCACCCATTACGGCACACCCCTCACACGTTCGTGCCCCATGGGAGTTCCAACGAAGGCCCAGTCGCATGCGTCACCGCCACCCATTACGGCACACCCCTCACACGGTTCGTGGTCCCATAGGGAGCTCCACCGAGGGCCCCAGTGGGTGCGTTCGCATGCGTCAGCGCCACACATTGCGGCACACCCTTCACACGGTCCGTGGCCCCATAGGGAGCACCACCGAAGGCCCCAGTGGGTGCGTTCGCATGCGTCACCGCCATCCATTATGGCACACCCCTCACGCGTTTCGTGGCCCCATAGGGAGCTCCACCGAAGGCCCCAGTGGGTGCGTTCGCATGCGCCACCGCCACCCATTACGGCACACCCCTCACACGGTTCGTGGCCCCATAGGGAGCTCCACCGAAGGCCCCAGTGGGTGCGTTCGCATGCGTCACCGCCACCCAATTCGGCACACCGCTCACACGGTTCGTGGCCCCATAGGGAGCTCCACCGAAGGCCCCAGTGGGTGCGTTCGCATGCGTCACCGCCACCCAACTCGGCACACATCTCACACGGTTCGTGGTCCCATAGGGAGCTCCACCGAAGAAGGTGCTCACATTTGCGGTACCCACAATTGCAATGTCTGGGTCTTTCGCCAGGATAAGTTTGCTATGTTTGGGCGTTGTTTGCGTATTTGTTATTGCCTGTAGGGGGACATGCCCGGCCTAAACCTGGTAGGGCGCGTACGTCCTTTGTGGTCTCCTTTCTCCCTTTACATGGGGAGATCCGCTCAGAGCGGAGTTGTCACAAGTGATCGGACGTGTGTCCGAAAGGCCTCGAAGCCCGTGGTGGCTTCCATCGGCTGCGCCACGTCGAGAGCGTCCCAGGGGTACCCGAACCGTCCCGAGAGGCCGCCGGAGAGCCGAGGTAGCGCCTGCCAACGAAAGGGCGAAGCTAAAAGGGGGAGACGCTGAGGAAGCATCGACCTCCAATCGTCCGCTCATCGCCGATAGGAGCCCGATAGCCCCCCCCCCCGCGCCCATCTAGGCCTCCCAGCTGGGGCTGGAGTCGCGCCGCATCGCCGATGCATCGGCGATGCGGCTCGATGCGGAGCCCGATTTCCTCCACGCCGACGTCGCCGATGCATCGCCCGCGTCGACGATGCATCGCCAGTGCATCGCCGACGCATCGCAGATATATCGGCGATGCGGCGCGATCCCCCGACCCCATTTTTTCCGACCCCATCTAGGAGGCGTCGAGCCCAAGAACGTGCGGATTCACGATTGGCGGCATGTCGTCGATCTTTCGGCAATGTCACGACTGCGGATCAACGACTGGGTCTATACAATGCATCTTTCCAACTCCGGCTCCGTTACCGTCTCCGACTCTTTCCGACTCCCGCTCTTACCGCTCCGACTCCGGCTGCTTCTGAGCGGCCCACCCTCATCGGCGCCCTGGCGCCCACCCGCCGCACCTCTCGTGGGTGCCTCGGCGCGGGTTCTGTTCTGTTCTGTTATGTTCTCTGTCCCCCCCCCAAGGGGGAGGAGGAGGAGGAGGAGGAGGAGGAGGAGGAGGAGGAGGGAGGAGGAGGAGGAGGAGGAGGCGGAGGAGGAGGAGGAGGAGGAGGAGGAGGAGGAGGAGAGGAGGAGGAGGAGGAGGAGGAGGAGGAGGAGGAGGAGGAGAGGAGGAGGAGGAGGAGGAGGGAGGAGGAGGAGGAGGAGGAGGGGAGGGGGGGGGGAGGGGGAGGGGGAGGGGGAGGAGGAGGAGAGGGGAGGAGGGAGGAGGAGGAGGAGGAGGAGGAGGAGGAGAGAGAGAGAGGAGAGAGGAGAGAGGAGAGAGGAGAGAGGAGAGAGGAGAGAGAAGTGAGGAGAGAGGAGAGAGGAGGAGGAGGAGGGAGGAGGAGGAGGAGGAGGAGGAGGAGAAGGAGGAGGCGGAGTTGGAGAATTTTCCGAGTGCCACCTGGAATGCAGAAAAGTCGCCCGGCCAGTCAGAAAGCCTCGCCGAGAGACGCCCCGTCGTGATGTTTCCATGACTTGAGGGGGTCTGGGTTTTACAGTTGGACCGAGGTATAAGATCGAGGTCGGTTCGGGAAGGATCATCTCATGTTCTTCGTGTCTGTTGGATGTTCCTGGGCACCCTGGGGAGGGTACCCTTGGGTGTTCTGTGCGTCTTGGCTGGCGGAGGGTCTCGTGTTCTTCGAAGAAGAGAAAAACGCCATAAAACATAAATGGTTGGCGTTCTGCGCAGATTTTTCCACCAAAATGCCCAGCGGCGGTGTCCAAATGCGTCCGCGCCACCTATTTCGGCGCACCCCTCATACGCTTCGTGGCCCCGTGGGTAGCTCTGTCGAAGCGGCCGTGTCCACAGGCGTTCGCGCCACCCATGTCGGCACACCCCTCACACATTTCGTGGCCCCAGAGGGAGCTTCACAGAAGGCCCCAGCGGCAGTGTGCACATGCGTCCGCGCCACCCGTGTCGGCACTCCCCTCACACGGTTTGTAGCCCCGCAGGTAGTTCGACAGAAGGCCCCAGTGGCGTCCACACGCGTCCGCGCCACCCATTTCGGCACTCCTCACACGGTTCGCGGCCTTGAAGGAGCTCCACCGAAGGCCCCAGTGGCGGTGTCCACATGTGCCCGCGTCATTCGGGGCACCGCTCACACGGTTCGTGGCCCCATAGGGGGCTCCACCGAAGGCCCCAGTGGCGGTGTGCACACGCGTCCGCGCCACCCATTTCGGCACACCCCTCACACGGTTCGTGGCCCAAAAGGAGCTCCACCGAAGGCCCCAGTGGCGGTGTCCACATGTGCCCGCGCCACTCGGGACACCGCTCACACGCTTCGTGGCCCCATAGGGAGCCACCGAAGGCCCCCGCACTTGTGTCCATATGCGTCCGCGCCACCCATTTCGGCACGCCCACACAGAACTAAGCATCGTGTCTGTGAAAACCCGGTCTTGAGTAATATCCCGGGGTTTTAGAAAGAATTTTGCGATGGTTTTGCGATGGAGAGCGTGACGATCCCATACCAAAGTTCCACGTGGGGCCTCAGGGTCGGGTTTTTTGCGGAAGGTTTCTTGTGGTCGAGCTCTTGTTGTAGATGGGGTCCGAGCAGATGGGGTCGGAGGCTCGCGCCGCATCGCCGATGCATCGGCGATGCGGCTCGACGTGGAGTCCGATTTTCTCCGCTCTGGCGTCGCCGATGCATCGCCGATATATCGCCGATGCGTCGGCGATGTGTCGGCGAGGCGGCGCGATCCTCCGACCCCATCTGCTCCGACCTCCTCGAGGGGGTCCTTCAGCAACGGGAGGTGTCCGTGGGCCGCCGGGAGAGCCGGCGTTGTCTCGGCTGGTCGTGTTCCGTGTTCCGAGTCGGTGCCCCTCGGACGTCGCCACGGACGGGTTCGCCTGGACGCGCCTCGGTCGGGACGCCGCGCGCTGGTCTGGGAGCAGCGGCAGCGGCATCGGTGAGTCATCCCCCCCAGGGTGAAGGGAGCACGAGTAGCGGGAGGGGGGGAAGAGGAGAAGGCGGAAGCGGGAGAGGAGGGAAGGCGATCGAGGAGGAGGAGGAGGAGGAGGAGGAGGAGGAGGAGGAGGAGGAGGAAGACGCCGAGGCTGCGCGGCAGGCCGAAGAGGCGACCGAGGCCGAGAAGGAGGAGGAGGAGGCCAGAGAGGGTGCCCAGCGGGGAACGGCGGCCAAGCTGGCCCGGGGCAGGACCTCGACAACCAGTGGGAGAAGCGCAGCAAGATGCGCGCCGAGGAGCCCCCCCTCCCTGGCCGCCCCGTCCCTGCTGGCGGGGGCGCCCCGTCCCTGCAGGCGGGGGCGCCCCGTCCCGCGCTGATATGGCCGCCCCGTGCCTGCTGGCGGGGGCGTGGAACCTCGAGATCCCTGCGTCGTCAGAAACATTACGACGGGATGCGTTTGGCAATGTTCGGCTCCAGAGCGCCTTGCGGGGCGTCGGGGCCGTTCAAGAACAAAGATACGGGATGAACAGCGGGTCTGGGAAGAGGGAGCGAGGGGTGAGGACCAAGGGTGTGTGTGTGTGTGTGTGGTATCATGCCTGTGGTCATGGTGCGCTAGCTTCGCTCTTTTTTCCCACCCTCTTCTGCGCATCTGACTCGTTGTCCTGAGGAGGACGAGGAGTGAGAGCGCGGGTCTTTCGTATGCCGAAACGCAACTCAAGCCTCAATATATCGGAGGGCCGCACGGACCTCCGGAAGCCTCTGTTCATGCAGTTGCTGCTTCTCTGCTTGAGAGCGTGGATGTTCGAGCAGAGCAGGTGCAATAGGGAAACAAACAATGACATAAACATAAAAGCTCGGAGGTCCGCGCGGATTTCTCGGATCGGCGCTGGACCTCCCTCCCTGGCGCGCGGAGCGCGCCAGGGGGTCCAGCGCGGATCCGAGAAACCCGCGCGGACCTCCGAGCTTTTATATTTATGTTTGTTCCCCTATGCAAGGGGCCGGAATCCCGAGCAGGCGGCGGCGTGAGTCGTTCGTGGGCCGTGTCCGACCTCGTCGGCGCCGCCCGCCTCTGGCCCAGGCAGCTGAGCAGACCACGCTCGGCGTCGTTCGGGCGCTGCTGGCAGTGCCCCCGGTCCAGGGTGCCCCCGGTCCAGGGTGCCCCCAGGAGTTCCAAAGAGGCCCCCGCGGCCTCCCGAGCACCCCTCACGAGGCCCAGGGGCCCCTGGGGCTTCTCCTCCTCATCATCATCATCATCCCCCTCCTCCTCCTCCTCCTCCTCCTCCTCCTCCTCCTCCTCCTCCTCCTCCTCCTCCTCCTCCTCTTGCAAGACCCTGGGGGGCACCCAGGCATCGGCACCATCCTCGTCCTCGTTCTCACCATCAGTGGATCAAAAAATGAGATTAGACACATAATAACAACATTTCGGAGGATCGCGCGGATTCCTTGGATCGGCGCTGGGGCCCCCTGGCGGCGCCTCCGGCGCCGTCCCTGGCACGTTCCGCACGCCAGGGAGAGGGTCCAGCTCGATCTGAGGACGGGGACTCCTCGGATCGGCGCTGGGGCCCCCTGGCGGCGCCTCCGTCGCCGCACCTGACGCGATCCGCGCGACAAGGAGAGGGGGTCCAGCGCCGATCCCAGAACTCCGCGCGAACCTCCGAGGTTTTATGTTTCTGTCATTATTTGTTCCCCTCACCGTCCTCGTTCTCATCCTCCCTCACCATCCTCATTCTCATTCTCGTTCTCATCCTCACCATCCTCGTTCTCGTCCTCCTCACCATCCTCACCATCCTCGTTCTCATATTTGTTCGTTCCCCATCGCTATCCTCGTCCTCATCCTCCCTCCCACGACGCAAGCGCAACCATCCGCTTCCCCGTCCTCGTCTTCATCACAAGACAACCAGGTGCCAGCCGCCTTCGCCGCTGCCAAAAAAGCACGCGATAGACTGCTGGGCCAGTGGCACACAGTCTGCGCGGCTGCAGGCAACCCCCGCATGGTAAGGACGAGCGACTTTTTCCAAGGTTGCCCTTTTCGAGCAGGGGGTCGACTACAGAACTGATTTAGCCAAAACTTATTTGTTCGCCGAATCTACGAGAAGAAAAACGTAGACGACTTGTAGATCTACTGACGAATATTCGCCTTTGTAGTAGACTCGATCGAAAAACAGACCTGGGGGTGAATCGATTCTGTAGTCGATCCCCTGCTCGGCCCTTGCATCCTGCCCCTCCGGCCCATCCTGGCCGCTTTCGCTGGCCGCGCCCCGCTCGCCAAGGCTCGACGTGGCCTTCTGAGACCCCTGCATCCGTTCCGCGCGTCCTCCCTGTGCGGGCCGATTGCAGGCCAGTGGGAGACAGGCTGCGCAGTCACGGTCCGATCTTCACAATACCCACCCCAGAGATCCAACGTATTGAACAAATCAAGATGGAGGTTTACCGCATATTTCGGCCCCTAGGGGCCCTCGCCGGGCCTCGGGACCGTCCAAAAACGACTCAGGATGAAAAACCGGTCCTGGGGAATGGGTCGAGCTTTCCGGGGACCGCGCATGGAACAGATCACGGCGTCGGATCTCCGGAGCCGTCTCTTCCCCCGCAGGCCCAGTGCCATCGCCGACGCCGCCGCAAAGGGGGCGGGGGGGGCCTCTCGCCACGGAGGCCACCGGGGGCCCCGAGCGCGCGCAGCCTCGCGCGGCACGCTCAGGGCGAGCCTGCCCTGGCGCGCGCGCGCGTGCCTGGCGGCGCCCAGGAGTGGTGCCTCGAGGGAGAGCTGCTGCGCATCGCGCAGACGTAAGTTGGGGCTCGTCCCTCTACCGGAGGAATCTGCAAAAATAGTGAAAAGATAGTCTGGGGGCACTTTTAACAAATATGTGGTGGCCATTTGGGGGCATGTGTTGTTGCTATTTTTTTCATCTCTCGCCCAGAATCCACCCGCAGGGGGACACACCCGACCTAACTCCAATGAGAGCTATCACGCAGACTGCTTCTGGCGAGAGGTTCCTCGCAGCACTTACGCTGGACCTCCTCGAACGGCCAGTGTGCGGGGCTCAGGTGACGGCGGTCAGCCCTCCTCCTCCTGCTCCTCTTCCTCCTCCTCCTCCTCCTCCTCCTCCCCTCCTCCTGCTGCTCCTCCTCCTCCTCCTCCTCCTCCTTCCTCCTTCCTCCCTCCTCCCTCCTCCCTCCTCCCTCCTCCCTCCAACCCCGCTCTGGCCGACCCGGGCTCGGGGGCCACGCGGGGCCGACTCCCCGTCGGAGGCAACGACAGGGGGGGGGGGGACAGGCAAAGGAGGGCATGCGTCGACCCCCTGTCGCCCACGGGTTGCCGATAGGGATCTGCTGGCCCACCCCTGCCAGGGCACATGGCCCATGGGTTGCCATGGGCACATGGCCTGATGCGTCGACCCCTAGTCGCCCACGGGTTGCCATCTGATGGCCCACCCCTGCCAGGGAACATGGTGATTCACCATCGGAGGCCCGTCGCCGATCTGTCGGCGACGTGTCGCCGATGCCAGGTCGACGTGCTGCCCCCCGGTGCAAGGCCGCCCTACCGTTGCCCCTCACACGGAGGTCCAGGCCTCCCAGATCAGCGCGAGACCAGAAGCAGGCTGCTCGGTTGCGCCGGCATCCGCGCGCAAGCTGCTCGCGTCAGGTCGCGCGTGAGCGCCTTCGTTCTCTGAGGCAGCGTGAAGTCGGGCCTGTCCCTCTACAGGAGGGAGATTCAAAAATAATCAAATCTAGCAGTACGTTTAGAGTGTTTCTAATTTCTCGCACAACATCCCCCTGTAGGGGGACAGGCCCGACCTGAAGGTAGCGTGTCGCGCCGGTGGCCCGGGTAAGCAACCGCGCAAGGCCGCAACGCCATCTCGCGTAAGACCCGTTGCTCTCGTCGCTCAGATGGGGTCCGAGATGGGGTCGGAGGATCGCGCCGTATCGCCAGTGTATCGCCGATGCGCCGTCGATGCATCGGCGACGTCAGTGATGCATCGGCGATGCGGCGCAATCCTCCCACCCCATCTACCTGGACCCCATCTAGGAAGCCTCTACACTAGTGGGGGAAAGACATATTCGCGTCGTGAACAAAGTCAGGACGATGTTGTTTTGGGCGTGTTCGTCCTCTGGGGGCCTGACCATGCCCCAGGAACGTCAAACATCAGCTCGGGATGAAAAACGGGTCCTGGAAAATGGGACGGGATTCCAGGATAGCCCGAAACGAAAATGTCAGGGCATCGCATGTCTCGGTCCCTATCCGCGGCTCGCGGGCCAGGCCCCTTGGCCGGGACTCCGCGGATACGGGGCGTTTGTTTGTGGATACGGATACGTTCAACGTTTGTGAGGGTTCGGAGTCCAAGCAGCCCTTTAATGCGTGGGTGGTTTGGAGCGTCTCCTCTTCCAGCCCTCTCCTTCCCCCTCGGGGAGGGGCTCATCACTGCTCCTCATTCGTACACCCTTCCCCCACCCGACCGTCGGCAAACCTGGGCCAAGTCAACGACGGAAAGAAACGGTGCCGGCTGCGCCGACGTGCGCGCGAAATTTGTCCGCGTAAGTTCGCGCTTGAGCGCCCTCGCCTCCAATGAAGTGTGCCGCGCTGGCGGCCAGCGCAAGCCGCCGCGTCAGGTCGGTGTGGCATCTCGCGTGCAGTGGAAGCCCATCCCAAGAAGCACCCTGCTTGCCTCCAGGGTGCCCTGGGTTTCTTGGATTTCGATGGTTTCGCCATGAGAAGTATGACTTTCCCACCAAAATCAATGGACGTCCTGGGGTCTCAGGGCTGTGTTTCGTATGGAAGGCTGTAACGTCAGGATACAGTCGGACCGAGGTATAAGATCGAGGTCGGTTTGCGGAGGGTACCCCCCACTTTCTTCGTATGTGTTGGGTGTTGCCGTGCATCCTGGGGGAGGGTACCCTCGAATGTTCTTCAGTTTGGCCGGCGGTCTTAGGTTCTTGGAGGATGTTCTTCTGTCCTACGTCTGGCCGTACATCGACCCCCGACCCCCTTGTCAATCGCCAAGAGGGGGCCCGATCGCCCACCCCGCCCACGAGCGGGCGACTTCGCAATCTCGATCCATCGGCGAGGTGTCGCCGATTCCAGGTCGATGGATCCCCCCTGAGTTGGCACCACCGAACGTTGCCCATCATAGATTATAGTCCGCTGACTGTGCATCCCCCTCTTCGTCTTCCTTCCGTTGCCGCCGCTGTGTCTCATCGGTTTCTGCATCGTCCCCATCCCCGTGCACCACCCAAACACCCATCATTCTCCGCATTCTCGTCCTCATCTTCAACCCGCGCCCCCATTCCCATCCCCCGCTAAGGGGGCGATTGGGAAGAGAGCGTACCGAAAGGAGGGTCAGGGGGATCTCTGGAGTGGGGATTAGAGAGGGACCTTGCTACCAGGAGACGAAGGCCGTGGCGGAAGCCGTGGCCATCATCACGGAGGACGACAACCGCGAGCATTTGATGAACACGATCAGCTTCTTGCAGGAGTCATTCTTGTCGGGAGCGAGATGAATCCAGGCCTCCTAAATGGGGTCCGAGTAGATGGGGTCGGAGGATCGCGCCTCATCGCCGACGCATCGGCCTTGCTGCTCGATGTGGAGCCCGGTGTTCTCCATGTCGACGTCCCTGATGCACGACGCCGCCGACACATTGGCGATGCATCGCCGATGCATCGGCCATGCAGCTCTATGTGGAGTGCGATTCTCTCCACATCTACATCGCCGATGTATCGCCGACGCCGCCGACATATCACAGATACATCGGCGATGCATCGGCGATGCGGCGCGATCCTCCGACCCCGTCTACTCGGACACCATTTGGTATGCCTCGACGGAATATGCACATACGTATATAGGTGCAGGGTGAGGGGGCCGAACGGTCATTCATTGTCATTGGGTGTATGGCTCAAGTGGGGATCCGTGGTGAGGATTATGCGTGTTGCGTTGTTGTTGTTGTTGCTGTTGCTGTTGCTGTTGCTGTTGCTGTTGCTGGTGCTGGTGCTGGTGTTGGTGTTGCTGCTGTTGGTGCTGTCGTTGTCGTTGTCGGTGTTGGTGTTGTTGCTGCTGTTGCTGTTGTTGTTGGTGTTGCTGCTGCTGTTGGCGTTGTTGGTGGTGTTGTTGTTGCTGCTGCTGTTGTTGTTGTCGTTGTCGCTGTCGTTGTGGTTGTCGGTGTTGGTGTTGCTGCTGCTGTTGTTGTTGCCGCTGCTGATGATGATGATGTTGTTGCCGTTGTTGTTGCTGTTGTTGTTGGTGCTGTTGGTGGTGTTGCTATTGTTGTTGTCGTCCCACCCGCGACCCACCCGCGACCCACCCCGCGACTCACCCCGCGACCCACCCCGCGAACCACCTGCGACCCAACCCGCGACCCACCCGCGACCCGCCCCGCGACCCACCCGCGGCTCACTCGCGACCCACCCACGACCTACCCCGCGACCCATCCGCGTCCCACCCCGCGACCCATCCGCGACCCACCCGCGACCCACCCGTGACCCGCTTACGACCCGCCCGCGACCCACCCGCGACCCACCCGCGACCCGCCCGCGACGGACCCATCTGCGACTCACCAGCGACCCACCCGCGCCATTCCCACATTGGTTTAACCAAACATCGGCGGCTGCGGCGGGCTCGTTGTATAATGTGTGAAACTTTGGCGCTTGCGGAGGGCTTCTCCAGAGACTCGCAAACTGCCGACCTCCCCGCCGCCCCCTCACTCTTACCCGCATCTGCGGGGTGCTACGTCGATCTTAAGGGCTTCGCCCTCTGCCGCCGGCCCCCCTATTACGAGTGCGTGCGGCTGCGTGGATAGCGCCGTGGGTGTTTCTTGTGGCAGGCTTCTCGGTAGCGTCTGCTGATGATTGTTGGAGTTCCTTGGAAGCCGTTTTGGAGCCTTTTGGGGCATAGTTTGGGTCTCTTGGCGATCTCTTGGGGGCCTCTTGGGGGCCTCTTGGGGGCCTCTTGGGTCCTCTTGGGACCGTCTTGAGGCCTCCTGTGGCGGAAAGGTCGAGTTTTCGGTTCGTGGACTCCTTCTTGGGCCTCTCCCGGGACCGTCTTAGGGCCCTTCTGGACCGTCTTGGGCGCCTCTTGGACCGTCTTGGGGCCCTCTTCGGCCGTCTTGGGGCCGTCTTGGGGGCCTCTCGGGCCGTCACGGGAGCTTCGAGGGCCGTCGTGTGGCGATCTTGGGAACTTCTTGGTCCGTCTCGGAGCGTCGGAGAGCCGAAAAGGCGAGAAGAGAAGGCCAAGCACTTTCAAAAACGTTTAGAACATCCTGGATCTTTGCTTCGTGGGGCCCTCTTGGGAGGCTGGTACCCTCTTGGGAGGCCTCTTGGAGCTCTCTTGGGCCGTGTTGGCAGCATCTTGGGCCGTCTTGGGGCCATCTTGGGCCGTCTTGGGTTCCTGAGGCTCTCTTCGGAGCCTCTTCGGGCAATCTTGGAGGCCTCTCAGGCCGTTCTGGCCGCGCGGCGGCGTCACCATGAGAATCCTGGGATGGCCCAGAGCAGCCAGTTTGTGAGGTTCACCCACCCCTGTTAGCTGTTTGGTGACGCGGCAGGGCCCCCTAGCAGACAGTAAACAGGAGGCAGGAAACAGGACTGGAGAGACAAAAGGCTAAACAGCAAATGACAACACATAAAACATGACAGCAGACCGCACACACCTTCGCAGCCTTGCGCCCCCGGAGTGGGCCGGCAGATCTACACTACTGTGAATACACATTTGTACACACAATAGTTATTCCATTGAGAGAGAGGTTGAGAAAGAGAGAGAGAGAGAGGGAGGGAGAGGGAGAGAGAGAGAGAGAGAAAACAAAAAAAAGAGAGACGGACAGACAGATAGGCAGACAGTCAGACGGAGAGGCAGACACAGACAGGCAGACAGGCAGACAGACAGACGGGCAGACAGGCAGACAGGCAGACAGGCAGACAGACGCACAGGCAGACAACAGGCAGACAGACAGGCAGACAGGCAGGCAGACCGGCCGACCGACAGACAGACAGACGGTCAGACAAAACACAGGCAGCCAGACTGACACTCACAGACAGACAGACGGAGAGGGGCAGGCCCCGTGACCGACTCTTGGAGGCTCGACCCGAGCAGTGCCTGTCCAGCACGCCGGCAGCGGGCCACATGGCGAAACGGCGAGGACGCGGTCCCCTCACGGACGCCCCCCACCCCGCCCACTCATGGAGGCGGGGGGAGGAGGTGCCCAAGGACGACCCCTTCATCCATCATGGTCCAGGGGCAACCCCCCAAAATCATCGTCCAGGGACAACCCCGAGCAAAATCATTGGCCCACGAGGCCCGAAGAGATCACTGTCCTTGGACAGCCCCCAAAAAGCGACGAAAACGCGGCAGGGGGCAAGAGAGCGCAGGGGGCGGCACGAGGCCAGTGGCCCGACGGGGGCGGAGTGTGCTTTTACGGACTGCGAGAGCCTCGCGGCCAGTGCCGCCAGCCCTGCTCGCGAGGAGGAGGAGGAGGAGGACGAGGTGGAAGAGCAGGAGGAAGAGCAGGAGGAAGAGTAGGAGGAAGAGCAGGAGGAAGAGCAGGAGGAGGAGGAGGAGGAGGAGGAGGAGGACGAGGAGGAGGACAGGCGAGAGAGGAGGAGAGAGGAGGAGGAGGAGGAGGAGGAGGAGAGGAGGGGGAGAAAAGAGAAGAGGAGGAGGGGGAGGAGGAGGAAGCAGGGGGAGGAGGAGGAGGAGGAGGAGGAGGAGGAGGAGGAGGAGGAGGAGGAGGAGGAGGGGGGGGGGGGAGCAGGAGGAGGAGGAGGAGGAGGATGGGAGGAAGGAGGTCGGACGGGGCCAGGGCGAGGATCAATCCATTCCAGAGCGTTCCGGAACGCTCTCAGAGCGTTCCGAAGCGCTCTGAGAAGGCCGCGGCGCTAGAGACATCTTTCAGACCCGCCGGACGAATGAGACGTTTGATTCATCATCCCCCGGTTTTATCTTCGTCCCAGATTCGATTTAGGAGGGGGGAGACTGGGCCAGAAAGAGAGAGAGAGAGAGACAGATAGAGAGGGGTGAGGGAAACCAAGGGTGAAAGGTGGCGCCAACCATGATTTTAGGCCAGCGCAGGTGCGCGGCAGACAAGGGCGAGGCGTTTGCGGGTTTCGCCCTGCACGCCGGTCGGCTGCACTGTCGCAGTCACGGATGGCAGAGTGCAACGGCTCGCGGCGAGGGCGGGGGGCAGCAGGAGCGTGCACACCCAGGTTTTGCGTGGTTGGGGTTCGGCAGCCATTCACGCGATCCCCGTTGTACCCCGCAGTTCCGTCTTTCGAGCGCAGTGGCGTCGGTCAGTGTCGGCTTAGCGTAGGCCAGCGTCGATTCGTAAGAGCCAGCAAGATGGTATGGGAGGCTCCCATGAGTTGCTACAGAAATTGATGCTACTGCTGGCCGGGCCCAGGGGCCTTGTTCAGTTGTCCCATTGGCATCACGACCGTAGATCCCCTCCTATATCAGACAAAAGGATGAATCCACTTGCGGAGTTGGTCGAGCCACGATCCCATGTATTGGTCGTGGTATTGTCGGTTGCACAATAAATGGTGGGCGAAGGTGTTGGAAACAGTTATGGGTGCGACGGAAGCGACGTCTACAGTTTCTTCCTTTATCGTCCTTACGCATGTCCAGACGCTCCTGATTTGTATCAGCGCTGATTTGACAGGGAAGGGGAATCTCGCCAACATGATCAGGCTCTCTAGTGCTACTAGTTTGTGCGCCCAATGGGTATCCCCGCCTTCTGCCCTGCCAGTAGTAGGAGGAGCTGGGGAGGAAAATGAGGAGAGGAGGGGTGATAAGGAGGACTTCTTTCTTCTGGCCGCACTCCGCCTCTTCATCCCGATGCTTCTCCTCTGCCTCCTCCTCCTCGTCGTCCCCCTCCACCCTCTCCTCCATCTCCTTCTGCTGCTCCTCCTCCTCCTCCTCCTTCTCCTCCTCGACCTCCATACCTCCCCCTCCTCCTTCTCCTCCCTGTCATCCTCCTCTTCCTCCTCCTCCTCCTCCGCCTCCTCACGAGGAAGAGGAGGAGGACAGGGGAGAGCAGGAGAGTAGGAGGGGGGGGGAAGGGCTGAGGAACGAGGAGGATGAGGAGGAGGACGAGAAGAAGGAGGAGGAGGAGGAGGAGGAGGAGGAGGCGGGAGGAGGGAGGAGGGAGGAGGGAGGTGGGACTAGGGAGGAGGAAGAGGAGGAGGAGGAGGAGGAGAAGGAGGAGGAGGAGGGGGAGGAAGGGAGTGAAGGAGGGACGAGGGAGGAGGAGGGAGGGAGGGAGGGAGGGGGGGGGAGGGAGACAGGGAGGAGGGAGGGAGGCAGGAGGGAGGAGGAGGAGGAGGAGGAGGAGGAGGAGGAGGAGGAGAGGAAGGAGGAGGAGGAGGAAAAGGACAAGGAGAAGGAGAAGGAGAGGGATGAGGAGAGGGAGGAGGAGCAGGAGAACGAGTGGAAGGGTAGGATGGGGGGAAGGAGGAGCGCGGGGAGGAGAGGGGGAGGACGAGGCACGCCTCATCCTCCTCCCGCCACCTCCTCGCCCCTCCCGCGTCGGCCCCCTTCTCTTCCGCCTCTCCACCGAGGAGGGCCGTGAGGCGGTCCAGCTGCGCAGGCGCCGCCAGGGAGCCGCCGGCATCCTGCGCAAGGCCCGCCCTCCTGCCGCTCGCCAGTGCCCGCCGCCGCGGCTGCGCCGCCGGCACAGGACGGACCCGAGCGGCCGTGGTTCGCTCGCCTACGCGGCCAACGCCAGCGGCGGTCGGCCACGACGACGAGGACGACGACGACGGCCACGGCGGCCACGGCGGCCACGCCGAAGACGGCGGCGGCGCGGCGGTGCGGCGGCGGCGGTGCCGCGGCGGCGGCGACGACGACGACGGCCAGGGCGGCGACGGTGGGCCGCCGCCGCGCCGCGGTGACAGGCCGCGGGCGACTTGGACGACGTGGACACGGACGACCTGCTGGCGCCCAGCCGCCCGCCTTGGGCGGCCGCCGCTCGACAACCGCTGTCGTCGTCGGCCGCGGCCGCCGCCGCCGCCGCCATCATTCGCCGACCGCTGCCGTCGGCGCCGCCGCCGCCGTCGCCGCCGTCGTCGTCGTCGTCGTCGTCGTCGTTTTCGTCGTCGTTGTCGCCGCCGTCGCCGTCGTCGTGTCGTCGACGTCGCCGTCGCCGTCGTCGTCGTCGTCGTGGTCGTCTTCGATCGTCGATCGCCTGCCTCCGCGAGATGCCCCTCCGCCCGCCGCGGACGTCGTCGATCGCCGTCGTTGTCGCCGTCGTCGTTGTCGTCGTCGCGGGTTTCGCGGCAGCGGCCGCCTCGCTTTCCTGGGGGGGGTGCTTGGTCCGTCCCGAGCGGTGGCATGGGGCCCGAACTGGGCCACTCGGAAGCGGAGGGTGGAGGATGAGGATGGTCAGGGGCAACGTCAGGGGTGGCCAGGGAGAGGGTGGATTCGCAGACGACGGGCTCCCCAAACGCCGTGCTTCTTCTCTGTCCACAGCCAGGCGTGTGCTCGTCCAGTTTCGTTTCGGGCCCACAGGCGTCCATCCGCGGGGCGATCCGATACGAGGCTTGCCGCGCAAAAGGATGAGGCCGAGGGCCCGGGCCGTTCTTTCAAACGCTGCTGGTTATCGCTGCTCCTGCGATGCGGCAGCTTAGTTAAACGCGACGTCTGCATCATCCTGGAATCCTAGACGTGCTCGCGTCGTGACCAAAAACCAGGACGGGAGGTTGTTTGATTGTTTTGGCCTCCAGGAGCCCTTACCGGCCCCCAGAACCATCAATGAGCCGCGCCCCTGGCACAGGCCGCGGCGGTGCGGGGCGCCCCCCACCCCCCAAGGAGGCCGAAGAGGCGTGGGCCAGCTCCTAGGGGGCCCTCTCGCGGGGGGGGGAGGGGCGTGCCCTCGAGGGCCCGTCGTCCAAGCTGTCCCCATCGCCGCTGGGCCACGGCGTCCTGCGGAGCTTCGGCGCCCTGGGCGCGAGCTGCCGAGCGGCGCGCCTTCCAAGGGGCACGCGGCCGGCACGGCCGGCGGCCCCCGAGGTGCATAGGCGTGTTCGCGCAGGCCCCGCGCAGAGAGGCATCAGAGCGCCAGCCGCCCCGCGTGCCGATCTGGCGGGCGCCAGCGGTACGCCGAGAGCACCGTCGGCACGGCCCGCGAGGCAGGCCCCGCGAGAGCCCCGCAGGAGCAGCCAGCCTTCTCCTCTCCCTCCCTCCCTCCCTCCTCCTCCTCCTCCTCCTCCTCCTCCTCCTCCTCCTCCTCCTCCTCCTCCTCCTCCTCCTCTTCCTCCTCCTCCTCCTCCTCCTCCTCCTCCTCCTCCTCCTCCTCCCTTGCGTCGTTGTGCTCCCGCCTCCTTGCCCTCGATTTTCTTCTCACTAGTTTCAACACGCTTCGAATCGCTGATGCTGTTTCAAACCTCCTTCACTGCTCACGTCAGAGCGATGGCCAGGGCGAGCGCAGGAAGGCCCAGGGTGGCGCGGCTGCTGCTGCGGGGGGCGGACCTCTCAACGCGCCTGCCTCCTTCACTGCTCACGTCAGAGCGATGGCTTGGGCGAGCGCAGGGAGGCCCAGGGTGGCGCGGCTGCTGCTGCGGGGGGCGGACCTCTCAACGCGCCCGGCGCTTCCAGACTGCCTGCTGCCGCCGCCGCCGACGACGATGACGACGAATTTCCCCCCTCTTGGTGAGTGCCGTTCCTCCTCCTCCTCCTCCTCCTCCTCATCCTCCTCCTCCTCCTCCTCCTCCTCCTCCTCCTCCTCCTCCTCCTCCTCCCCTCCTTCTCATCTGTCCCCACCTGGGTCGGCACGTCGGCCCGTGGGGCCAAGGCCACGCCGGTGGGGATACCGTCAACCCACATGGAAAGGACGAGCGATTCTCTAAGGTTATACCCCTCGCATCCTTCCCTTTCGGCCCATCCCTGGCCGCTCTCGCCGGCCGCGCCCCGCTCGCATAGTGTCGGCGTGGCCTTCCGAGGCTCTTTGCATCCTTGCCGCGCATCCTTCTTATGCGGGTCGACTGCTGTAGGGATCGGTCCAGCGATGCCCATTCCAGGGTGCGAGAGGGCCCCCCACCCTCGGCAGAGGGCCGGGCGCCGGGCGGCGGAAGCAGAGCGGGGGGGGGGCCGGTTGCCGCCGCCGCCGTGGGGGGCCACGGCGGATGTCGGAGGGGTGCCTCCCCGTGGGATTGCACTCGGATCGGAAAAGCAGCACAAACCTGACTTTGTGGCGCTGCGCGCGGATTTCTTGGATCTGCGCTGGGTTCCCCCCCCCGGCGGCGCCGGAGGCCCCGGCGCGCTCCGCGCGCCATGCAGATGCAAGAAGTCCGCGCGGAGCGCCGAAAGTGTATGTCTTTACCGCTTTTTCCTTCCAGCCATGCCTTAGGGACTCGGGGGCCCTGGAGCCCGCCATGTTCTCGGGGCCCCAAAACATGCACCACCTCCACCCTCACCCCCTTCGTCTCCCAGGAGAGGGGAGGCGAAGACGAGAGCGGAAAGGAGGAAGGGGGAACGGAAATATTTTCGGTGCTCTGGAACCCGCCACACTCGGGGCCCAAGATCGTCTGGGTTTGGGGCGGTCAGGGATAAGTGCCTCGGGCCCCCAATCAAGTGTTGCCCAAAACTGAACGTATCCCAGATACTTCGGGCGTCCAACCGATCCCGAGTCATCAGGGCTGGGGATGGTCAGGGGTAGTTAACTGCTTGTTCGTGCCTCGGCGGCCAAAGCCAGAGCTATGCCAGACCGCAGTTATCCTGGCCAACCTCCGGGGAAACGTAGGATCCGAGTCCGCAGGATCTCCGGTTTGCCGACGCTTTTTGACGAGCCCGTCCTGGGCTGGCTTTGACGGTCCAGTTCTCGCGGGATGCTTGTAGCGGGAACTCGCGTCGAAGGTCAGGCTGGGTTTCGTCGTTACCACGACGGCCCCGTCACGACAACCCGAGCCCCCGAACCCGAGCCTCCCGTCTCTCCGAAAGCGTGGGCACCCAAGCGTGCCACGCACAGGCCAGCCACAACTGGGGGAGCTGTGGTCCTTACCCCCGTGGGGGGCCCATCGATTTCGACACCCCTCTCGAGAGGTCGTCGAGGCGATGGGTTCCCCCAGGGGGGTAAGGACCACAGCTCCCCCAGTCATGGCTGGTCGGACGCAGGAGTGGCCCTCCGCCGGGGAGGCCTCCGGTGCCGGGCTTTTCGGGGGGGGCGCGGGGGGGGGGGGGAGCAGGAGCCGACCGCGCGGGGCCGCCGCTGCCGCATCGCACGCAGCGATCGGCGAGCCTCCGAGGAGGAGGAGGAGGAGGAGGTACTCCAGATTTCGTAATACAGGGAGGGGGGTCTCATTTCGGGGGGGGGGTCTCTTCCAGGCTATCTTGGAGGGCCTGGGGGGTCTGGGGACGATGTTTTGGAGGGTTCTCCCACGGGGGAGGTCTGAAATGGCTTGTCTTGGAGGGTCCAGACCCCCTCCCTTTTATCACGAAATCCTACCCATGCACGCCGGTCGTTGAAAGTAGGTGTTATTGGACTCCCAGATCCCAATCGACTTCTAGCGCTCTCCTACGTCAAGAATCGGCATGCTTTCGCCATGTTTTGTTGACCTCTGGGAGGCCCTTGGCCCAATCTGCTTCATCCGCCTTCCTACTTCACATTTCTACGTACTTCTCCCGACCGACGTGTACCGCTACCCTTCCTTCGGTAGCAAATCATGGGAGCCTTGCGTGCCCTGGTACTTCTGTCTTTAGCGTCGACTAGCGCTGATTAGCGTCTGGGAGTCGATGAGGACGCTCCAATCCAGCGTCGTTTAGCGCAGATTAACGTCGATGTAGCGTGGACTAGCGTCGATTTAGCGTCGATTCGCGTCGATTCGCAAGAGCCGGCGAGATGGTATGGGAGGCCCCCATGAGTTGCCACCGAACCTTCCCTCGGTTTCCCCTTTTGGGGTTCCTGGTGCAAATGAGGTCGGAGGATCGTGCTGCATCGGAAATGCACCGAGGATGCATCAGCGAAGCAATCGCGACGTCGGCGGTGCAACGGCGCCGTTGGCGTGGAGGAGGTCGACCTCCAAATCGAGCCGCATCGGCGATGCGGCGCGATCCTTCACCCCAGTTGAGTGGCATGAAGTCTCAGCAGGCGGCAGGGTTTCTCAGAAACCCTCGCGCCCTCTAAGAAGCCGCGTCTGTCTTCGGAGAAGGCGGAGCAGGCTCATCAGAAAGCGCGAGGGCTTCTCGGGAGCCCTCCCCCCTTTCTGAGAAGGCCCAACCCCCTCTTACTTCCCCCTCGGCTCGCCGCCGAGTTCAGGGCAGCCGGGGCGGCTGGCGAGTTCAACGCAGAAGTGGCCGTGGGCAAAAGTGGCCGTTCATGAGATGTGAGCGTTGCATTTTTTGTTTGTCCCCCACGGGCCTTTTTGCTGGAGTTCGGGCGCCAAGACCCTGACGGATCGATCTGTGAGAAACTGCGGCAGAGAGATGGGGCTTCGGCCCTGTTTTTTGCGATTTCTGCGACGTTGCAGATGTTTCGCGACTCTGTCTTTCAAGGTGGGTGGGAGTTGCCTTTGGTGCGCGGCTTCAGGGTGCCGCTGGGAGGGCCCAGCTCCGGCGCGCCGGCGAGTGCCCGGGGTTGACCCCGCCCGCGGGGCGCAGACGTGCAGCCGAGGCTGTGGCACACCTTGACCGAAGAGTGGCGGCAACGTTTCAAAGCTCCGGGGTGGGCCTCACCGGGGGCCCCCCGGGCCATCAAAGAACGGCTGGGGACGACGAGCCAGGCTCCCTGGGAAGGGTTCCAGCATTTGGACCCCAGAGCTCTGCCCCCTCCCTCCTCCTCCTTCTCCTCCTCGGATCCTCCTTTTTCTCCTCCTCCGCCTCCGCCTCCGCCTCCTCCTCCTCCTCCTCCTCCTCCGCCTTCGCCTCCTCCTCCTCCTCCTCCTCCTCCTCCTCCTCCTCCTCCTCCTCATCCTCCTCCCCCTGGCCTCCCTGACGCGCCCCCTCC